TTCCCCACATCCCGATTTCTCGAAAGTGGAGGAGGATGGCTCTAAGGAGAATGAGGTGTGACACTATTTACCGCTTCACTGCCCCAACCATCCAGAATTGAGCCAGTTTTTGACCGACTTTTTTCTCCGTGGACAGATTTGGCTCAAATGTTGTCTCCTGGGGTACCTCCTGAATACGAATATCACATTCGCTTAGCCCGAAACTTCCTGGCGCCCGCGCCACAGGCGCCGGTGATTTGGGGTATTTTGGCGCCAGCGCCTGTAGCGCGGGCGCCAGGAGGTTTTGGGTTGAGCGGATGTGATATTCGTGTTCAGGAGGTCAAACTACCCCAGGGAACAAATTTTTAGCCAATTCTGCCAACGCAGAAAAACCGGTCGAAAACTGGCCTGTTTTTGGAGGACTGGGGCAGTAAAGGGTAAATAGTGCTGAGGTTGTCAGACCGGCTGTACCAGCGCAGCTGAATGCCACACCTTCTTCACTTGCCCACTGTACATTATCGCTCCAATGAATATTTTCAAGAGACTTGCGAGGATGAGCGGTTAGGTGAGGCCATCAGCACAGCACGTGCGGCTTAAATATTGCGTGTCACTTACCGCTACCTTTTGTACGACCCCCTTCTAATCCACCAACTCCCACCTCCTCCTGCCTCCGCTTTCCCAGGAAGATTTGGCGAGCAGCACCAGAGCAATAAAGGAAAATCTCAATATCTCAATATGCAATGCTCTGTCAAAGCATCTGCTAACCTTTTTCTCTGCAAACCAAATACGATGCCCTTTAAGGCGACTAGCACACTGCCCCTCCCAAGCCACTTAAATACGACCTTCTGGGTGAATAACGACCGGACGACATCTACTGGAGTATTCTCTCAAGATAATTTTCGTTTTCTCAATTTCCAAAACTATTCCCAAGACCTCTCGCCGGTCAAGAAGCCCCTCTACTGTATAATTTCTCTAGGGCTTGCAGTAATAATCTCCTAAACTTGTTTTAAGTATAAGTAGATCAGGGCAACTCTGAATTCGATACCGTTTCTGATCGCTCTTTTCTGGCCTCCCTATGGAAAGATCGTTTTTCTGTGAGCTTTGCGTAACGGCCTAATTATACGATAATCCCCATCTTCAAACACGATAGCTGCTTGATATTCAAACATAATGCTGGTTCTTAGACCCATCAAAGGCGATTAATAAGCCCTGAAGAGCACGGCGGCAATACATTAATCCTGCAAAGACACCTGGGAACAGGGTCCGGCAGATTATTCTGGGACAAGCGTTTTCTCATGAACAGAACACTTCGGACAACCAGGAGCTGCACAGAATCTTTCCATCCTTCCATTACGAGCCTAACAAGCATAAAAGGATCAAGTCCTGGCCGTTGATCAGTCCCTCTGAGAGAGAAGGCACGCATTCTACTTCCGTTCTGCGCAGTAGCTTATTGAATGCGATGTGGCCTATACAATGACTTGCGGGGGCCAGCCGATGTACAAGTCAGTGTTTTATCCTCCCAGACGAATCTGGTACCAATTTACCGTCCCCGGAGGGTAGAAGGCTTGGTTGGCCTGGGCGGGGTCGACCCGGGATTCGAACCCAAGACCGCGCAAGTGGTAAGCGTGCCACTTGCCCTACACCAGCTCCACCTCGTACGATCAGATAGAAAGAGACTAAGCGGGGTGGCCAAATCCCTTCACAGTAGAGTACCCCACTTTTAGGCTAAGCTTTCATAAATCGTTTTCAAGTTCCATCCACCATACCTGCAAGGCATTCGGGTCATACTGCGTGTTCTCGACTCTTGAAATTGTCCGCTCATCTTCTTCGCCAAAATCTCCTCCCATCATTGATGGCTCGCCTACCACCATGACGTCCTGGAAACCCAGCGACGAAAACTGAAACTTCAATTTAGTACACTGATTATGACGAATGAAATACTAGAAACAAGCCAAAAATGATGATTCGACGCCTTACGTTGCTAGACAATGGATTCGTCGGGAATCCGGCATTGCTCGGAGCAGGACTAGCATTGGCCTTCTTGCTTTTAGTATTCGTTGTAGTTTTTCGTTGTCTTTTCCGTGCTGGTTTCGGTTTTTGCTCTTCAACCGTTGTCGGTGGTAACATTGGAGGTTGACCTGAAGCATGAACTCTATTTTAATCAACAAGTAACCGCATAAAAACTGAAACAGCTATGTTCAAATGAAAGAAAGCTGCTTCGGAAGAAATAGAGCTATGTTGCTCTGTGAAAGTAAAGAATGCTGGACATCACTTGGAGGTGCTTTGACACGCACGTTGCGCAACTAATGTTATGTGAACACGTTCGTCAAGGGCGGGCGACGTGAATGGTTACTGATTTCATTCAGTAACGCTTTGCGCACACTAAACGGGAGGAGCTGAATGGGCTAAAGAGCTGCGCCTTCACATGATTACCATAAACACTTCTCTGTCGGAAATTTCATTCAAAACCCTATTCTAAATGAGCACAAAGAAGAACTTTGCTATAGTAGTTGACAAGACCCTCAAAATTTTCAAAAGCACATCATTAGTGGCATATTCATAGGAAGATGAAATCTGGGCTGAAGTCCATGGACAAGGGCATACTTACTATATCCAAAACTTACTCATATGCTGCATGGCCATTTGTTGTTGTTGCTGCTGCATTTTCGTATGATGAGCAAAAAGAGTCCGAGTCATCGCATCTCTTGGCGACAACTGTAATACAAAGTGTAAAATAAGGATCAAATCAGCACACAATCTTATTGGCAGCGTATGAAGGGGCCTGACATAGGTTTGGCGCGGTGCCAACGCCGTTTTCCACCAGCTGCTGAAGCGAGAAAGTGACAATGCTTCCTCATATCGCTCATATCAGTCGTTCTCCACCGACTGCTGTCGTTTACCTGCTTCAAAAACTCGTGAAAAACGGGTGGCACCCCGCCAAACGCAGCCGCATTGACACACCGTGTAATCCGCAGCGAACCACACCGTACCTAAGCCAATACTACTTTTAGCGAATTATGCCGAGTACGATCGTTTAAGACTGTTAGAGACAAACTCCCTTTGAGGTACCTAGTTAAGGGCCCCTTTCGTTTAGGACCAACAAGGTCATAGCCTGCCGCGGCCAAATCACGTCATGCTGCTTCGGCGAGAGGGTGCAGACGAGCAGATCCAGGAGAAATGGGTTACTCCATTACGATCAACACCATATTGAAGTACGCCAAAAGAGCAGCCTCGATGGAGAGTGACCCTAGCAGGGCACACAGCGCCTTCAAAAAGATAAACCCCTCGCCTGTATATTGCGGGTAGTGTCGCTCAATTACAAACCGCTACAGTCGCTAAATAACTCTTCAGATGAGAAAAGAGAGAAAAAAAAACATGTAGAACCCCCAAGTAAAGATCTGGCAGCCCTCTGCTGGACGAGTTCTCCGACCTGCTCGTTTTATGTCCGCAACGTGAGATCCTGCCACATCTAGCTTAATAATCGTTTCTGCGCGTCATTCAAAACTAGTACCATCTGACAACGAAAAAAAAAACGGATAACGTGGGGTAAAAGCTGAATCTGTGACAGAAAGTAAGCTTTTAGTTTCGGTGGGCGGGGCGACTGGAGTATCTTCAGAATGCCCCTCATGAGGACCATAGCGCTTCGTCCGTGTTCTACCCCATCTCAACCGAAACCTGCCAACGATCTTGCGTCCATAAACACACGTATAACGTGTTGCGTCCACTCCGTACAGGACCCTATCGCAACTCTAAGGAACAGCGTGTTGCTGTCTTCTCCCAGCCCTAGTATCAACTCTGTCTCTCACACGCGCAACACCCATGCTCCTCTGAATGCTCGTCCAATGTTGAAGCCTTATCTAGGACGCTTTTTCTCCACTGGTAAGCCAATCAGCATCTACGAATCCATACCTAGGTCGCAGCGTCCACGAATAGCAAACGCGGAATGCGCTTTAACAAGTAACCTTATTCACTACAACGCTTGCATTTTACTCCAAAAAAATAATGAAAAATACTGGTAATTATGGCGGAGGAAACAGGCAATCGGACCAAGACAATATTTTTTTAAATATGACTATCAACTGGATATCACAATTACAAAACCTAACACACTCAGCTCTGGACCACACTCATAACAGCCCAATAAACTTGGCTTCTATTAATATTCCGAAATTCCACGTAACGCGGCACAAGAAAGGAGCACAAGGAGCGAAAAAAAAGATAAAGATGAGTCCGCTGCAGAATTGACAACTATGAACGAGAGGTCGAAAGCTGAAGTGTGGGGGAGAAAAGAACCGTTCTAAAGAAAAATCTTTATGGGCAAACGTAGATAAATTCTCAACAGGCAGGGAAGGGTGCGTCGCAGTCCTGCCACTCTCAACAGGCAGGGAAGGGTGCGTCGCAGTCCTGCCACACCGAGTGGATCGGGATTTGGAGTCTGCTGCGCAGAAACCTCCGCTTGCAACGCCTCTCTAGCAGAGCATATCATTAGTTGGGGATTTTGTTCAAGTCCAAACGACCATCCCTGCCCCCTGATTCTCTCCTTTCTTGCGATCGAGCTATGGAAGGGAGGACGGGGGAGCGTATACAGCACATGTGAAACAGGAAAAACCACGAAAAGTACCCACCGAGAAAAAACGTTTCCCAACGCCGCGGATTCCTATGAGAAAGCAAGTACGACCCCCTTTCCCCAACTACGAGCAAAGACGACCTCCCCCTATAGCGTCCGTAAAGCAAGCAAAATCAACTTTCAAAAAAAATCTCAGTCAGATTAAGGACGACCCCCCCCCCTGTTGGTGGATCCCCAGAGGTGATGTGCCGTGCTCTCAAGAGCCCTTCTCGCGATTCGAATGGGCTGAACTACTCACACCATAGAGAGCTAAACCTTGTGAAAAAGCGCTCCATGAATGCTACTACTAAAATACCCGCGATAAGTGATTCACACATTATAACCTTCGGAGTGCTCATTAGTGCGGGAATGCTCTTATTCATGCAGGCTTCAAGTGCTTCCGTGACTATTTCTCATGGCTCCCATAATTCCTCAACTACGGCTGTTGGGTATCGTGCCGTGATCGCGGGACTACGTTAAGATACGAGGTTAGGGTGTAGGCCCATATATTTACTCCCAAAAATGCTGACAGGCCAAAAGAGCCAACACTAAGATACCCAAGAGAGCCAAAAAAATGGGGCAATTTACCGATGTAAGAATCAGGGCGCGTCGTACGTTGGGGACTCCCAGCGAGAGGGTCGTATTTGCTCGCTGGAGGGAAAAGGGTCGTGTTTGCCTTTGAGAAAATTGATTCTGAAGTCAGTCATTCT